GATCTCCCCTGCGCCCCTCCCTGTGTCCCCTACCCCCGACCTCCCGCTGCGCCCCTCCCTGTGTCCCCTACCCCCGATCTCTCCCCGCGCCCCTCCCCGTGTCCCCTGCCCCCAATCTCACCCCATGGGCCTCTCCCCATGTCCCCTACCTCCGATCTCCCCCCAATCTCCCCCCTGCGCCCCTCCCCATGTCCCCTATCCCCGATCTCCCCTCATGCGCCCCTCCCCGTGTCCCCTGCTCCCAATCTCCCCCCTGTGCCGCACTCCCCGTGTCCCCTGCTCCCGATTTCACCCCATGTGCCTCTCCCCATGTCCCCTACCTCCGATCTCCCCCCCAATCTCCCCTCATGCGCTCCTTCCCCGTGTCCCCCGCCCCCCAATCTGCCCCTGCCCGTGTCTCCGCCCCCGATCTCCCCCCCGGCCCGGGCTTACCCGGGTTGAGCGGGGGCCGGTCGCGGGGGCTTGTCCCGGCGGCCCCCAGGAGCAGCGCGGCCAGGGGCAGGAGGGCGGCCGGGCTCGGCTCCATGGCTGGGAAGCTCTGAGCGGGGCCGGGCTCGCAGCTCTCGCGATCCGAGCCCGGGCTCCTCCCAGCCCCCCCGGTGTGGGTGTGGGTGTGTGTATGGGGGGGGGCAGGATCCCTCCCGCCGCCCTCCCGGGGCTCTGCGCCTCCTCCCTGATTGGGGGCCCCCCAGCGCCTCTCCCTCCCCCCGCCGACACCCACATGGTGGGGAGCGCTGGGGGGACACCCCGAAACCAGGAACCCCGCCGTCAACCAATACGCCCCCGCGCCCCCCTCCCCGCCGGCCAATCAGCGCCCGCGCCCCCCTCCCCACCAGCCAATCCCCGTTCGGGAAAGTTCCCGAGCGAGAAAACGCTGGAAAAGTTGGGGCAGAAAAAGGGGAAGTTTTTGGTTTCCCGCTGCCACGTTGCCAAAAGGGGGGGCGGGGCGGAGGAGGGGTCTCTGGGGGAGGGGAGTGAGGGATGGGGACCCCTTGGGGGGCCGGGCAGGGAGAGGTGAGGGAGGGGGACTCCTGGGGGGGGGAGAGGGGAACGTGGTAAAAAGGGGCGCTTGGGGGAGCGAGATAGCAGTGGGGGGCTAGGGTGCAGGCAACGGGGATGCAGAGATGATGCAGAGCAGGGAGGGCTGGGAGCCAGGACTCTTGGGTTCTCTCCCTGGCTCCGTGAGCGGACTGGGGGCTAGTGGTTAGAGGCGGGGGGGGGGGGGGCTGGGAGCCAGGACTCCTGGGTTCTCCTGGGTCTGGGAAAGGAGTGGGCTCTTATGGGGGTGTTGAAAATCCAGCCACAGGGGCGGAGTTCCACCAACCCAACAACCCGGGTAGAGAGCGCTAGGCGGGTGCACCTCTGGGTATAGTGGGGTCACTGTGCCCATTGGGGGGGGCGTCTTTGCCAGAGACTCGTCTACATTAGGATCCCGCCAGCGGAGTCGGCGTCTGATTTCTCTCTCCCGCCCGAGCAAGGAAATCATTCCCCCGAGGCCTAGCACCGGGCGGCGTCCCTTACCTCGCTCCTGGGTGGGGCGGCTTATTCCCTCCGGAGCGACAGAATTGACCCTGATGTCCCGTGCCGTGTAGACAAGCCCCGAAGCTCCAGATTCTGAACTGTGGCCCTGCGAGATATGGGTCAGGGGAAGACGCGTCCGGGCTCGATACCGGCTAGGGCAGATTCCTTAGGGTGAGGCCTTCGCCTGGATCGGCAGGGCCGCGGCCCCGTTCGGATCTCGGCGGGCCCAGGGCGGGGGGCACAGCAAGAAATATTTGGCTCCATTTGGAGGGGCACTTTTGCCCCCCGGCGACTGGAGGAGCTGGATCTCGTCCCGCAGCCCCAGGGCCGGAGGAGTTCGCTCACCCTGCCCCGGCCCCAGAGGAGTTCTGTGTCCCTGCTGTCTGGGGGGGCCCATGCCCCTGCTCGTCCCCCGCCGCTGCCCCCCCACTGTAATGTAACGTAATGGCGGGTGCTGGACCCATGTGGATAGTCGGGGCTGGGTCAAGGTCAAGTCCAGGCCCCAGGGAAAATAATAATCCAACCACCCCACGGATGGCGGTGGGAAGATTCGGGGGCCTCCCCGCATGCACCCGGGGGGGGGGCGATCTGGCCTGGGGGGCTGCCTGGTGCCCACCCCCACCCAGCAGGCGGCTGTAATGAACCCGGGCCCAGTTTGGGAAGGTGCTGGTGGGTGTTCTGGGGGGGGGGTGAGGGTGTCCGGGGGCTGTCGGTGGGGAGAGAAGTGGAGAGGTGCCTGGGGGCTCTCGGGGGGGAGGGAGGTGGGGGGTGCCCGGGGGCTGTCAGGGGGACCCCCGTGGATGGAAGGGGGGGCAGTGAGCACCAGTGGGGGGATCCTGCTCAGGCAGGGACTCGGGTGCTGTGGGGGAGGGGCACTAGGGAAGAATGGGGGGGGGTCCAGCGCAGGTCAGTGTAGACGGGCCCTGCCCAGGCACCGCCCCCAGCTGCTGACCTAGCCCCGCCCCGCCCCCTGGCTCCTCCTCCCGTGGGGCGCTGGGCGGCCCCACCCCCAGGAGCTGGGGTTGGGGGGGGAAGACCAGGAACAGATCCTCCCGCCTCCAGCACCGAGGGGGGCGGGGCCTAGCGCGGGAGGCGGAAGCGGGGCTGCCCCAGCTAAGATGGCGGCGGGGGGCGGGTCCCGGAAGTGACGATGACTGCTCCCAGCCCGGCTGCAGCATGGTGGAGAAGAAGGTGTCAGGTAGCGGGGCCAGGAGCGAACCGGGTGGGGGGGCCGGGGGGTCGCGGCGGGTTGGTGGTGGGGTAGGGGGCGGGGCTAGTGGGGGACGGGGGAGATGGCCGGGTTGGGGGCCGGGGGCAGATGGGGTTAGAGCTGAGGGTCTGGGTGGGGTTAGTGGGTGGGACAGGTGGTGGGAGCTGTC